TTTTTCTGAAATTCACAGGGACAAAAAAGGCCCTAAGTGAACCTCGTTCTTTGATATTGATATTGAAACTACTACACTAACACAATGTACCAGCCCTCATCGATGTTTACCTTGCACTCATTCCCTGAAGTAACGAGTGTCAAGCAGGTTAATCTTTTTTTCTTATAGTGTGGAATTATAGGATGAAAACTAGCCAGCTAAATTTTGTGCAAGCACTAGTAGATTTACATCGGATTTGTTACTTGAGTTTTAACAAATACTTGATAGCAGAGAAAATAATCTGTTACTGATAAAAACTAAAAAAAAAAAAAACTATTGTGTTTACTTCCTTTATTCTTTATGCATTCAACTTTCTATTCTATGCAATTCCAAATTCAGAAATGTCCGTGTAATCTTTTTCTGTACTTCTACACTACTGCATCAGACCATTTGTGAAAGGCGTGTCAAGATAATTATTTCGCGCCAAACGTCACGAGTAAATCTTCGCGCCATTTCTTTGGAATGTGTCTTCAATTGAATAAGTGTACGTGATAGCTTCAATGAAAGTTAAAAAAAATATGTTGCTAAAGCCTGATTTTTCTAGCCTAAGAATGTATATTTATTACACTGTACATATAACATACCGTATACGGACAAGTAACATAAATGCAGCGTTAAGTTTTCTTACACATTGTATATTCCTCTTTACCCCCAAAGTGGATTATTCCAATTAGTAACACATTAATGAAAAGACTGAACTGATTCGCAACAAAACACGTCTCGCCAAATGACGCTCAAGGAATCTGTTCAGTAACTTGCATCTATAAAGGAATATTGTCCTACTAAAATAAAAAAAAAATACTTTTTTAATAGTTTATTTTTCTCTGATTTGAAATTGCTATATGTTATTCAATCAACATGAGAAAGTAACAAAATCTACTTTCAAAATACTTCGGCAACTCTTCAATGTATGATACAATTGCATAGGTATCTAGCTACATATACATTTGTACCAACATGTTTTCCTCGTTTTGTCATATCACAATTGCATCTATGCACATTAATTAGTGCAAAATTCAACTGCAAACTCTTTTTGAGGGAGTAAAAAGACACGCTGATATTGTGCCGTCAAACACCGCTGCTCTTATATTTGAGCCCCAAAAAGTGAGAAAAAATTCGGACATTCTTTGGATGGAATCCTGATCGCCCACGTGAAAATTCAACATGCTAACCATTACGCTATCAAACATCATGGCTTAAATTGAAAAATGATAAATATTTAGAGAATGGGTTAATCAATTTTTAAACAAACTACATATTTAGCATTCTTGTTAGACTCTTTATTTAGCCTATCAGTATCATAAAACAATAATGAAAAACAAAAAATTTTAAAAAATTACCCTTTTTAAATCACTTCCTGTGACGACCGCAAGTGACGACGACACACGAAATTTTCCATCACACATCTTCAAACCAAATTCTATCATACCTGAAAGTTTCAGACTCCTACCTTTAACAGTTTCTGAGAACATTCATGGACCAGATTTTTAGTGGAAAAGGTGAAAAATCGTAATAATTCCCGACCGGAAGTGAATTTTTCCAAATTTTTTCAATATTTCAAAATGGCATGAGATAACACATCATTCCTGAAAATTTGGCTGAAAATGAATGAGTAGTTTTTGAGATATCGCGATTTGAAAAGGTCAAAAAAATAAAAATGAAAATGAAGAAGAAGAAACAGTAAAATCACTATAGGTCTTACTTTGAAAACGGAAGACCTAATAAGAAACAGTAGAATCACTATAAGGTCTTTCGTGAAGGCAGAAGACCTTAACTAGAGCAAAGCTCGTTGCAAAGCAACGAGTAGGTCTTCCGTCCGATTTTCAAAAGCACTGCTTGTAAGATGGATAAATGAAAGTAAAGTATTCGTTAAAAAGAAGGCCTCCAGACCAAAAATTATGTCGATTTGTAGCTAGTTTTTTTTATGATTTTTATGCTGATTTTCGTTAAATAAAGCAAATCAAAACTACTTCCGGTTTGACCGGAAGTGACCCCAATCGACAGAAAATTGGGTCAAAAGCCTTGGTTGAATTCAATCATTTGATTTTATGTTGATATCTGCAGAAATACGTCATTTATAGTTACTTCCGGTTTAGCCGGAAGTTGACAAAAGAGATCCTATCCTATCCTATCGTGAATCCTGCATCCACAATCCTGTCCTGTGATTTCAGTCTAATCCTATCCTATCCTATCCTGCTGCGCTCATTTTTTTTAATATTAAAGAGTTAATTTGACAAAACGAAAAAAAAAAATTATAAAATGACCATCAAATAAAATTCAGTTATAGTTATGAAATTAATTCAAATGTAATAAATTTCAATGGAGATAAAATAATCGAGATCGACATCCATTAATTTCCTACACTTCTCACGAATTAATTTGCGAGTAACCAGTTAAAATGTAAACAAAAGGATTGTAATAAAACTAGGCAAGTATTGATCTAGCGAACATATGAAGAAATTGGAACTTCGGAAGAATTGAAGAAAAAATATAGTTAAACTTTATTTGTGTTTTATTTTACATACTAACAATGATCGGGAGACGTCAAGGTATTTGTGATTTCTTTTTGAATTTGTTCTCTACGAAAAATAAATGGAGTTAAAATTAGAGAGAGAAAAAGGGGGAAACAATAAAGATTGCTGATACTTTTCTAATGTTATGATAAAGTAGACAAAAGGAACAAAATTTAAACTCTTTATAAGAATCAGACCACGAAAAAGTTTTACTTTTAAGAAACTGTAAATTTTTCAGAATATGAAAAATATTGGAAAACTATTTGTGATATATAATGTATTTATTTTTCTCAAGTTTATATATAAATGTACAAGTATGTTAAAATACTTAATACTGTTCCCCCCACCTCACTTTTTTGCACCCTTTCACCCCCTTTTTCCTATCTTTAATTTTATCTCTGTATATAAAGCTTTCACAGTGAATATTCATTAAAATGTACAATATTAATATGTCATATACAATTTTAATGTGATTTTGAAATGCAACATATATTTACTACAAAGAAATTATATTTAATATGAAGTATCAGGCAGTAGAAATGAAAGTATGTATTGAATGTTAACTAATATATTGTATAGTCTGTATATGTGAAAGCACAAATAAAATCTATGAATTAAAAAAAAAAAAAAAAAAAAAAAAAAAAGAATCAGACCACGAATACCAAATCTATCATGCCGGGTAGGTACACTGAATTATAACCGTACCCATTTAAGAAACAATTTCTCTATCATGTCTACACATACTAAATAATGACAAAAGTAGGATTTATTTGATGTTTTAACAAGTGTATGTTTCATCTGTTCATGTAAAATTTATGCAAAACTTTATTTTTCCCTTAACTGGGCATCACGGAAATAACATGTAGATCTAACTGCACCTATATCAGCTGTATATTAGATTTTACTTTTGACGTAAATCTAAATAAGAACTTCAAGATATGACAAGATCATAAACCGAGAACAGACAAGGCAAAATTTAGATCTAGAATATGTTGACTTTCATTTATTAAATAAGTTAAAATTGTCGTATTATATTCAATTCTGAATGTTTGATAAAAATTTTGTTTTATATTTATTATTAAAGTTATTCTTGTTTGAAATGTTCAGTTCATCATTTGTTTGTATGTGAATATTTTACAAACATGCAACATTTTCATCATGTTTGCTAAATAATAATCAAGATATTCAAAATGTTAAAATTTCTTATTTTGCTTCAGTTTGTTCTCAATTTATGGTCAGTTCAGTGCCGTACAAGTGTATCTTAATCAAAAAAAATTATGTGTGAGAATTTAATCAATTTTTGTTTAACAGAAAACATTTTCCTAAATCTTCATAGTCAGACAGGTTGACAGCAATAATTATTGTAGTCAGCTCACACATATTCCTTAGATCTCATAAAACATGCATAAGAGTCCACAGTATTTATAACCCAAATTTAAGTAAATCTTATTTTTGACCTTGACATTTGATCTTGAATGTTATTCAGTGTCTAATTGAGGAATAAAAATAATTGACCAAGTTCACAATATTTATTCAGGGTAATTCTTTTTTTCAGTGAATATGAATATAATTATATATATTGGACCAAATACATATTATCTACAATTTATATTTACAATGTATAACAATTGAATGTTCATTATCATGAGACAAATTCATGAAAAGTATCCATGTTAAGTATACAGTATTTCAATGCCAAGCTCAAAGATATATGTACATCTAGTTTGTTTAAATTGAAGTTTATCAATGTCTTATTACAATAGTATAATGATTTACATGCATATTATTTGGTATGCTTGTCCGTCGCTCAAATTGAATTACAAATGTCAAAGTAGTTTTCAGAGAGATGGTCATAAAGTAACCAAACAGTTTCACAAATGTCATCAATGCACAGAAAACAAATACACCACACACTGATATCCTTAATAAAGAACACCTTCATTTCAGACTCTAGGGGGCTTTTGGACACTGGTTTGAAAATCTTTCATTATTTATTCCAGCAGCAGATGAGATGAAGTGCATTTTATACAGCTGCAAATTAGCAGGATTGTCCTGAAGAAAAAAAAACACACCATTATATGCATGTAGATTGTAAATTTTGTCATATACATTATACATTAAAACTGTATTTGATTGTGATTATCTTTCTCATTTCATGTACAATTGTCTTAAGGATATGTGAACCTGACGATTTTGAACCTACCGCGCAACTCGAACTGCTGAAGATCAGGTCAATGTCGTGATCATACGTAGAGCGTTTGGTTTTGCTATTAAACTATTCTAAAGGATCGTAAACACCGAATTCCTTGTGAAATAAAATCAAATTAAATTAATATTGCATGTTTTTCATAAATTTTTGCTTTTTGCTTGTTCTTCCGACCTCGGAGCATTTACGACATACCCTTACCGTTTTGCGACACCATGTCGGTAGAGAGGGACGCAACGATACATTTGCACGGAAAACACAGCATATATTCCAGTAAACGGTTATATTTAGGCAAGAAATATAGAGATTGATGCTGTTAGGTTTCGTGCAACAACTTCCCAAGCGATGTCACCTCTGAATACAGTATCACGATGCACTACATGGTTTCAGGTTAGTAAAAATAAACAGCAGAATAAACATGCACCAAACAGAATGATAACTTCACACCTTATACAGCTGTATACTTATTCTTTGGTTGTAATTAATATCATTATAGCATCATCGACATTCATTTTCTTACTAACCGGGATTTACATCATTCACATCAGTTTAAACTTTTTAATTTAAGCTTTAATTTAAAATTGCAGAAAATCTGCCAAATTTTCCTATACAGTTACATATATATAGATATCTCGCTCATAAATTCAAACAGATGGGAAAAATAAACATCTAGCATGACATCAGTGAGCTCTGAGTATAATATTTGGTGCCACATATTTTGTACTTGTGTTTTTCAGACTTGAAAATATACAGTTGCATAAAATATTTACCTCTCGGGTTGCTTTAAAGTCTTTTAATTCTTAGTGGGATCAAAATTTTCCTTCATTTATGAATATGGAATTATAATATAATCTGAAGTGACATTTCTAAGATAAACATTGTAATTCAGGGTTCGACACTAACGGTGGACCGGCGGCCCAAGTCCACCCAAAAATTGGAAGGTCCACCAAATGTTCTGGACTAGGTGGACCGTTGGTCCACTTAAAAATTAAACACCATATTTAAAAAAAAAACCGTAATTCCACTTTTTCTATAAATCGACATCCGTAAATCAACGATTAATTCATCCATACTTATATTTTACAAGAAATAAATAGGGTATAATTTATTTTGGGTAATCAGGGGAATCAAGCAACTAAATATATATTTTACATGTAATATTGATGACTACAATATCAATAACATTGACTGCAAGAACATTCAACACGGACCTTGAAAAAGAAGCATGTAAAATTCGAGCCAAATTGGCCAGTCTGTCCTTTGTTTGTTTAATGCACAGAAAGGTGTGAAAATATACACTGGGTAACAGGAAATCACTTCACGCCTGACTTTCTGATGGCCAGGTTTGGAGATAATGAGAGTTGATTGACAGCTGCATTTATACATTGTTCTCAAACATGAATACATTATCTGCAGTTCCCGTTTTTTTCTGCTATACATTATATCACATAAAAGAATCATATGATCGCAGTTTATTTGAATAAATAATAATTAAAAAAAAAAATAAATAAATATACTTTTGTCAGTTTTGCATCGTTGTAAAAAGTATTCTAGCCATAGATACATGAAAAATTCATTTGTTTATATGAACAACTCAATTATTGGGATTATAAATTGTGTCTACCTTTGGAAGCTAAATAAATGCAGGTTTTTACCATTGTAAATAAATTATATTAAAATAACAAATTGTTTGAAGATGTAGATTGTGTTCTTTTTTTTAAATATTGAAAATATGTTTCACAATATTGCTAAAAACTCCTGACTACTAGTAATTGATTTGTTTCTGTTGACTGGTTAAACTTATACTTTATTAGTCTGACGAGACTGGTTACATAAGTTGGTTTCAAGCCTTGTGTAATGAATTCATTCATTAATTCAAACATTTATAAAGGTCCACCAGAATTTGAGAAGGTCCACCAATATTTTTTGACTAGTGGACCTGCGGTCCACCAAGGTAAAAAAGTTAGTGTCGAACCCTGGTAATTACTTTTTGTTTACTAGAGTCAAACTATCAAATTCCACTTCACTAGCCAAGTGACAAACTTAATGATAAACAATTCAGTATGATGTATGTCTGTGCAATACAAGATATGACTTATTAAAAAATGATGGGTTTTGTACTTAGCCTAAGAAATGAAGTAATGTGGGGAAAAAAGACTTGATCAAAAAGTGTTCATAATTTTTTTTAAGACAACAAATTGACCAATTTTATTCTTATTTCAAAATGACTCCTTTTCCCGAGTGAGCTTGAACACTGTGGTGACTTTACACATTCATTTATTAGTCTTTGTTGTTGGTTATGGATGCTTATATGCTGCATAATTCTTTTAGAATTTTGGAATTGTATGAAAATTTTAATAAATAATAATTAGCACTTTTTATTATTATATCAATTTCAGATAAAGGAAGGAAGATGTTTTAGAGAGAGATAATTCCCAAAACAATGTGAGATTACAGATTATGGAAGATTGCTGGGCATTATGACAAACAAAGGTCTGATTAAACATTAAATATCCTTTTGCCATTCAATCATTTGGAAACAATTTAACTTCAAGACCTATGGCTTTGGATCTCTACTAAAATAAATTTTAGCAAATGAATAATTATACTGCTTTAAATGATGTAACTGTTCTGTGAAATTATAAAAGCAGATATGTTTTGCTAACATTGATTGAAATCATAAAAGCTGTACATGTAACATGAGTTGCTTTGGAATTTGGCACTTACTTTTCATTGTAATGCTAAAGCTTTTTACTTACTACCGGTAATAACTAATTGACATTGATTGTACATATTCAAATAATATCTATAAAATTTCCTTGTAAATTGAATATATTTGTGACTGATTTGTTATTTGTACAGGTATCAAGGAGGAAAATGAACAATGTAGGTCAGAAGTCAAAATCTCTCAACTTATTCAACTCTTAGCAGCATGTTCCTATGGATCCAGATGCATTAAAAGATTTCTATTGTGTTGCAACCAATGGAATAGGTAGGAATGAATTAATTTTATTAAAATAAAAAAAAAAAATGGGTTCACTATGCATTCAATTCTGGTGGTGGTGGTGATGGGGAGGGGAGGGTAGTATATTTTCTGGCCTTCAATAAGGACAAAATATTTATTTCCCAGCTCACCAAAGACAAATTGTGACAGCAAGATTATTACTTTATTTTCACTGGAATAAATTAGACAAAAGAAAAAAAATCTTCCCAGTGGAGAAGAATTTTTTTTATTTTATTAACATCTTCTAGGTCAGATTATTTCCAAAATCTGCCCTCAGAATCAAAAGGTCCTCCCTTTAACTTGCTAGCAAGATACTAGAATTTATAAAAATATAACTTTTTGAAGCCTCATTAGACTAGTAGTCATATTTCATAAATAACTGGAAAGGTGTCAAATTATTAAAATGTTATGTAGTAATGTAGTAAATTTTAAATAGGTATCATATACAGTTGAACTTTGATATCTCGAACACTGATATCTCGAATACCATTGATATGTCGAAGTGATTTGGAAGTCTCAACTACTTATCCTTAAAGTATTTTACCCCTTATATCTTGAATGCTCGGATGTCTCGAAGTTTTTCTCAGGCCCATCTAGTTCGAGATAATAAGGTTTGACTGTATTTACAATTTTACTTGTATACTATATATATATATATATATATATATATATATATATATATATATATATACCCTAAAACCTTGAAAATAAGCCGGATTTAATAATAAGCCGGTTTCGAAAATAAGCCACCTATTTCTTGCATTGAAATTTACTCGAAAATAAGCCCGTTTTGAAAATAAGCCAGTCATGACAATTAATGCCATTTAAGAAAAAATTTAAACTAGAAAGTGTTTCGTTTTCTACATGCAAGATATTGAACACAGTGTTATTTTAATTATTTTATTTTATTATAAACATTCCATGACATTAATGATTTTATTTAACAAAGCACGAGTTATTATTGCATTATTTTTTTTTCTTTTTAGCTAACGGAAATCTTGAAATTCATTACATATCGTCTTTATCCTCGCAGAAATGATTTTAATTTCAACAAAGCACGAGAGGCTGTTGAATTTCAGTTTGAACAGAAATCTTTTTTTAGCAACGATAATCATGACTTTGTTCTTCGCGGCCATCTTCGAAGATATATCTTATTTTCAACAGAGCTCGAGCTATTTTAACAATTAAGTTTTAACAGACTTGATATTTCCTTTTTTAAATTACTATTATGAACGAAGGTTATTAATCGATCCCTCAATTACATCAATAAAAATAATCAAAGCCATTGATAATAAGGGTGTTGAGATAATCATAACAATGGCTTTAATTGGGACGTATATAGGGGTGTTTACATTGAGAATTGAAATAAATTTTATTAAAAGTTATTTAAAATTAAAATAAATTTAGCTTTGATAAAAATTTATTATAATTTTTTTTAACCGAGTGTCTACATGTGCATTATGATTACGCAAGCACGTGGCAAAGGAATGTGTAAACGTCTATAAATAATATCGTTATATGGCGGCTTGAATATGCAGCTAAAATTAATTTTAACTCGCTTTCCAATATCATTTAACTAACAACAGATTATAAATCTAACATTTTTAACAAAATTTACGTTCTAACAATAATTTATTAAGGTTTTAAATAAAGCGGTAAACAACAAGAAATTGGCTATGCTACAGTATGTCCGAATGATAGCCGGGCGCATAATAATGTAAATATATAAATGTTGTAGTTCACAGTCGATCGATTATAACTTATTTATTAATTTGATAATAAGTCGTGATTATTCCCTCGTCGCTTACCGGTTTTTTGTTTTGATAATAAGCCGCGATTTGAAAATAAGACGGTTTTGAAAATAAGCCCCCACTTTCTTTCCAAAACTGAAAATAAGCCGCGGCTTATTTTCAAGGTTTTAGGGTATATATATATATATATATATATATATATATATATATATATATATATATATATATATATATATATATATATATATATATATATATATATATATATATATATATATATATATATATATATATAAGATAAACTTATGCTGTATCCACGGGTATGTGCTTTATCAATAGCATGTCTTCCAGTTTCGACACAATCCCTAGGCCTCGCTTCAAACTTAAATGTAAACTTATCGAAACTTCTAATTGTGAAAGTTCTGTGATATCAAATGAATGCTAATGAGCAAAAATGTTCATTAAAAATATTAAAAATGAGAAAAAAACTAATTACACTTCCGTGAAATGTCAAAATTTATCAATGTACTGGCTACAGTGATAAAGGATGTTAACCCCCCCTCCCCACACACACACACACACACACACATACGTGTACAACCGCAATTCTCACTACACGAGGTTTTACACCTGAAAGTCACTACACTATGTTCCAGCAATGCTAACAAGATAAACAGACCATAACTGTGATTCTATGGGTCTTTGTATATGCAAATGAGGTTCAGAAAGATGAAAATTTAAATAATGAAAAAATGATTTTTCACCTAAAAGTCACTACATTTGGTCACGTGATTTTGCTCAATCACACACCGGAAGTTGACAAGTCACTACATGGCTTTACCAGGACACACACAGGAAACTCAGTACATAAACACTCTTGTAAGATATTATACAATAAAATCACTACATTCAGTAAATTTTGAATGCGTTTCCCGTAAAAACACCAATTTTTCCAAAAAATTGTCGAAAATACATGACAATGTCTGCATGAAATCTGTATGCTATAGAAAAAAAAATTGTCAAAGGATATCCGATAAAGTTAAAAGATAAAAAATTGGCTTTCAACATCTGTATATAGATTAAAATAAAGCAAATGAAATGAGAAGAATAAATTAACAGTCATGACAAAGATTTAAAAGAATTAACGGCCAGGCACGTAACATCGTTTTTGAAAGTGGGGGGGGGGGGCAGAAAATACAACTTAATACCCGAAAATCTTTGACAAGCAAGAGAAATAGGTTTACTTCAAAAAGTCGAAAATCCTATTGGTGGGTTGAACTTTTGTGAACCCTCCAAAAAATTTCTTTACAATAAAGTGACCGCATTTAAATACATACCAAAACAGTGTGTGTATGGGGGGGGGGGGGGGGGGTTAATGAACACTTTCACAGTAAATTAAAAATAAAACTTTTAAGTTTGAAAAAAGGAGGGGCCAAGCTACCCCTCCCCTCTGCTTTTACGTCGCTGACGGCAATGAATTGCCGAGTGTGCGTTGATTCAAGACTTGCTTCGTCAAGAATATTCGTTTTGGGTTTTTTTTTCTGTTGCATTGAGTAAGACAAGTAGAAATTGAAAATCGTTCACCAATTTTAAATGCAATCATTATGTTTTTTATGATCTTAAAGAGTTTATTTTTTTCTTAACAAGAATTTTATAGGATTACAAATTACTTAACTACTGTTCATGTAATAACATCTCGTTCTTTTTTATGTGGATGACACCACAACCAGCATTCAAAGGAAAATTTACAATAGTAATATAGTATATTCAGAAAAGGGGGGGGGGTAGCCTCCGCGTTCTACGGACCTGAAATAAGGGGAAAAATAATGATCCCTCTTATTTATTCTTGCGATTTAATGACTTCAAAAAACTGAAATTACTTTGGTGGGGAAAGTCCACTTCATTGTTTTTTTTATGCATAACATTCTATCATTTCATATTCATCATTTCATTTTCAAATTCAGCATTTAAAAATCCCATTGCTCAAATATGTTGGTCTCTAAAACCATGATTTTTTACGAAATGCAGTTCATACAGCACCCTTTAGTTTTCTTATCGCTTTGCTCAAATGTTTTAAAACATTTTGAAAGATCAAACAAAAAAGACGGTTTGTTTGCATGAAACAATTTAATTGCATCAACTATACAAAAAAGTACATAAAAAGAATGCTGACATGAAATAAGATACACATGTATAAGCCAAGTGTTAATAGATAATTCTTGCTGTTAATTTTTAAGGTATCCAAAATAAGTTTATTTTCACAGAACAACCAAGGACAATCAGTCAGTATTTGTGCAAAATCTAGTGGCATTTTCTTAGTGCATTAAACAACATACAAGTTTCGAAATAAAAAAAAAAAAATCTTTAAGCTTAAAGCTGACAACCAAGCAAGAAATATAAATATCATGCAATTAATAACTTCCTGTGTTTAAAATGCAACAAAAGGCCCTAGGCTTTGACTATTACCTGAGTATTATGAATTTCTCAGGCTGTGGTCATTTCAAAACCGCCTGGATCTAGAAATCTAGACCCATGCAACAAAAATCGTAAATTTTCACAAGAATTCTATATTTATTATCATATTGATGCAGCTGAACTCCTAGAAGTTCAAAAGTAAAGAGGATAAGGTATACTGGCTAATACTGTATAAAACATTCTAATTTATGACTAACTCTGCCTTTTCATGGGCCTGAAACATGAAGAAGCCTTCAATTAGAGGGCTAAGCATTAATTAAGATTAATTTTAGAGGTCCATGTTTGCTCTGCTACGAATATGGATTATTCTAATGGACTTTTGAGTTTGATTACTATTCATAATCTTCATATTTAATTTTATGCCTGCTAGTTTGCCTGCTAGATGTTCACCAGTAAAGGATTTTTTAAAACTTCAATTTACAGCCCATAGCAAGGGTTTCAAAAGTAGGGGGGACTTCAAAAAATATCTGACAAGCAAAAAAAAACATTATTTACTGAACCGACCTTATTGCAACAAAAAGGGGGGGGGAGGGGCAACCAGGATATAAAGGATACTTTACTATAGCAAAATACTATACTCAGAAAAAGTGGGGGGGGGGGGGTTCTATGGGCCTGTTGCAGTGTCAATATAAATAGGTAAACCTTGCATGAACAATGGGTCATGAGTGATAAATTTCACAAATTTTGGTTAAAAAATAATTACTTGCTTAAATTATGCAAACAGCTGTCTGCTACATGTCCATGAAAAAAAATTTATAGGATATATTTTTTCAATATTCAGCTCCATCCTGAACCTATATGCAAAAATGAATCTCACAATTTTTTGTACTTAAAGAGCTATGGGCTTATATGACATGCATGAACCATCAACTGCCTGCTAGCAAAACTTCTCACAAAAGAGACATGAATGTTTTTTATTATCATAGTTCCCAGACGATGTTTTTGGCCTCTAAAAACCTGGTCTTTCGCTTCTCTGACTGTGGTAAAACTTTGCCGACATCATCATGATCATCTTCACATTCACTGTCCTTTTCGCTGTCACTTGCAAGTGCAGCTTGTTTCTGCTGCATTTCAGATTTGAGAGGCTTACTGGGCATATCTGAAATTATTATATATGTACATGTATTGACAAAAGGGATTCATCTTTATTTTTATAGAAGAGGCCAATGGGCCACATGGCTCACCCAAGTCACAATGGCCCTGCACATTTCCCCCCCTATATATCCCTATGTAAAGCTTTGATTGCCTATTATGGCCTCATCTTACCCATTCAAACCTAATGAAGAGGTATGAAAGTTGTTTTTCCATACTTCAATCTGTTAGGCATGATTGAAACACTCTATGTAAGCTCCTTATGGAGATATTTATAATTTATAATGCTGGCTAATGAACATCATGTTAATGTGAGGCAGTGGAAAGCTATTTATTTAAAATGAATTTTGTCAATTTATCAGACTGTGATCATGTCTGGAGAAAAAAACAACTTATGGAATTAATCCTTAACTGTAATAAAGAAACAGTCATACTTAAAATTCAAGACAGAAATTCTGCCAGAATTTTAATTCACTTTAAACAATCTACATATTGTACAATGTAATACATAACACCTTATACAAGAGGCCCATGGTCCATGACACCTGAGCCCTTTTGCAAGAGAAAAGCAGAAATCAGTTCAGTATTGGAAAGTTTGAGTAATTATACAATTGGTGCCACCCTATGCCCTGTGGGTGATGATTTGAACAAACCTGAAACTACTTCTCCCATCCTACCCCTTGATGTTACGATTTGAATAAATTTGAATGTACACTACCTGAAAAATACTCCTGTATTAATATAACAAATCATGGCTTTGCTGTTCTTGAGAAAAAGGCCTTTAAAGACATTTTCTATATAATTCCATGTAAAAGTCTTATGCCCCATTGTGTCCCCACCCTTCTGCCAGGGGTCATTAGTTGATAAAACTTCAAGCTACATTACCTGAGTATGCTTCTGTATTAATATGACTTGTCATGGCTTTGCTGTTCTGGAGAATAATTTTTCTGGCCCACTCAGACCTGTTTAACTTTTCTAACTGATGTCAGTATTCTAGAAGTTGTCAGTATTTTGAGCAGTTTGTCAGTAAAAATGCAACTCAGCTTATTAGACATTTTTATATGAAGAACCCCTTGTTATACAAATACTAAGCACTAACTACGCAAGTCACCGTATGCTGTCTACTGTTGCTTACATATTTTACATTTGCCGTAATTATATTGTTTTTAGATCATTTTTGATAAGACCACTTCAATCAACAAGCTTCTTTATCAAACTGATTGGCAAATTTCGGGAACGACTCTGATTTTTTTCCGTCTTTAGGGAAAATCTGTATATTTTCAACGTGAATCTGTAGAGCACTTTTTTACTCGAAGATTCATGGAAAATACTAAACAGCTGTACAAGTAAACAACTCTGCCCATTGTTTCTGGAGAAGATTTTTTTAAAGATGCCATCAAATTTGCACTTATTTTTGATTATATCCCCTTAAAATAGGGTGATGCCTTTCATGTGAACAAACTTGAATCCCCCACCGAAGAATACTTTGTGGCAAGTTTGGTTGAAATTGACGCAGTGGTTCTTGAGATGGAGCTGAAAATTTGAAACAACAGTGACGCTGGAGATGGACAATGGACAAACTTTGATCAGAAAAGCTTACTTGAGCTTAAGAAAGTTCTGTTTTCAGCTTTATTACCAAGATCATTAATGGTATCTTCATCACAGCTTTTTTCATCGCTTGAAGGATGGTATGATTCATCATCATTACCATCATCATACTCGTCAGCTTCATCACTTAAAAGTGGCCCTGTATCATGTCCTATTTAAAATTCTAAAAAAGAAATTATCATTTTAAGACTGTTCATTTTTATGGGGTTAACTTTCAATTTGTAACATCCAAACAACATCATAAATATAGATTACCATTCTCATTGACAACATCATGACTGCTGCTTTCATTTACAAATGATTGGTGTGATTCCTCATCCTGCTCAATTGCAAAAGACTCTGTCAAAACATTCAAATTAGATATTAAATTGGAAAATAACACTTTTCTTAAAAAGTAAGATTCAAATTTATGAATACAATAGGGGTTATCTATTTTTTTCTTTTTGCCTTTACTATGCATGCAAAGAAGAGTCCCATGGGCTACAACATTTCCCATGTAAAAGAAGCTTTTCTTAATGTTTATAAAGAGTTTTTCTCCTTAATTTTCTCATGCAAAATTGTGAACTCATATTATGACCCTATCCTAACTCTAAAGGGTCTCTGAATCCACTATCCCCCCCCCCCGTGCTTCCTTCCTCCCTTTGGCCATGATTTGAACAAAAAGGAAGCTACAAGAAGGTTTAAAAATACTTTTTGTGGTCCAGTTGTTCTTAAGAGGATTTGTAAAGATTTTAACCAGTACATAAATGTATGTATATATTTCAAGGTAAATCTTTGATCCACTATTGTGGCCCCATCTACCTCAAAGGCCATTTTTTGAACAATTTAAAATCTTTATTACATCAGGAAGCTTTCACATAAATTTCAGCTCCTGACCAGTAAAGTGAGAGTATTATGGGCTTTGAGAAGAAAATACACATTATGGTTTAATTTGACCTCCAAATCTTTTTTCTAGTACCATAATAGTGTACGATACATTTATTAACTTGACAACATACCAATCTTCTCCTGGATTTTGTATGCTGGTGAGCACAGACTGGGCTCACAGTTTCCAGCAAAGTTAACAGCTGTAACTCTAAACTCCCACTCTGAGTCCTGAGGAAGATTGGTGACAGTAAAGAGGGGTCAGTGCAGGGGTACTCATTTCTCTGTTCCCTTAAACCTCTCTTCTACAAGGTAGTCTACAAAGATAATCAATATTATCAACTGCTACAGTGTTTATGTGGTTTTGAACAGAGATCAACATTTCCCTTTTTTTATTCTACTTTTAAATTAGTACCTGTAATTTTACAGCCACCATTATGTTTAGGTGGTTCCCATTTCAGATAAGTTATAGAATTGTTGACAGCCTCTGGTACACCAGGTGGCAAAACCTTGGCTAAAATAAAAGTTTAATAACGTGAAAGAAAAAATAATTGAAAATAAAGTACAATATGGTAATTGTTTTTTAAAATGTTATAATTTTTTTTCAAATATACTTACTGTATTTGGGCTTGGGAGTTATGGGACCAATCACATCACTAGACTCACTAATTTAAAAACCTTCAAGATTCTTGGCCTGTATGTGGAAGTTGTATTCCTTGTCCTTTTTTAATCCCTTCACTGATGAAAAAACTCTCAAATTCAAGTTTTGTAAACAAAACAAATTTCAAGAATCAATTTTGTAAAACATCTTTTCACAGTTTTCAGCCATAATATACTAATTACATGCAACAAAAGGACATGTAAATCCACTTACTAGTTCATAAGAAAGATACATGTGTCAACAAGTAATCAGTTACTCACCCTCATAAACACACTCATCTACTGGGAAGTCATTAGCCTGCCTCCAGTGGTGGGGTCTTCGTATTCTATGACATATCCTATAATCTTCTTAAACCAATCATTTCTTGGTTTGGTCCAATAGAGAGATTGACAAAATCTTCATCAATGTCGAAAACACTTGGATGTCCAGGAGGATCACAACAAGCTGAGGAAACATTTAATATTTACAAAATTTTTCAACCCAGTTCATCATGCAAGCACAAAGACATTCTTTTAATTGTATACACCAATCAATGCTCGAATCTTAACATATCCCTTCATATTGAAACAAAGTCTTAAAGTTTGGAATTCATTTGATATCTAACAATTCATGTTCAACAGAATTATCACTTCACTTCAGCTTAGCTTCAGGGGAGAGATCAAAATTCATACACATCTACAAAAACTAATCAATCACCTGAAAATGAATTTCTTTGGCTACCACTTAAATATTTAGATGACTTGCAAAATAAAGTGGACAGACAGGACAGTATATATAGCTTGAACGAATAGGGATATACTAAAATACTTAACTAAATGTGCATTCTCAACCAAATTTGTGCACAGTGCACTATTTAAAGAATGTCCATACAAAGTAGTCAAAATACCAATCCCAAAAATCTTGAACTTAGCATTTTACAATTTTTTCCTCATAAAAATAGACGAATTCAAAATTTGATGAAAAATATTAATGCTCTCAAACTAGGAATAATTAACATTTTTGGTGGAATGGCTCTGTTCAATGGTACCAGTTATGGAAGAAAAAAAATGCTGCTGTTTGTTCTTTATCACAAAATACATTGTATTTAAAAAAAAAAATTCCATTTCTTTTTTATTTTAAACATTTTTTACTTTATATTCCCACAAAAAACTTTAATCCACTATTGTTGTGCCACTCTACGGGTACCTCTAGGAACCATGTTTGGGAAAAAAATTGTACAGCACTTTTTGAGGATAACAGCTAGGACATTAATATCACTAATCAATGTCCTGTTGTGACATACATTCCAACGAAAAACTTCAATCCTTCATTGTAGCCCTATCCTACCCCACTGTAGATGCACTTCATTTATTTATTTTTAATTACAAAAAGACAATTGAACAAACTACCATGTTATGACTGCATCTTATTATGACATTTTTTTTATATGTTGATGTAAAAAAAATATTGATTCCATACTGGTTCCACCTACCCCATTAAGTCAGATTTGAACATGCAAACTTGAATCTATACCATGTCAGGACACTTCCACATAAGTTTCAATGGTTTATAAAAAGGAGATTTTTATATGAATCAAATTTTCACTGTTTCATAGCTACTTCTCCTTGAAAAGTTGGTCACCATTCATTTAAACAAATTAAAATTGCTAAGTGGTTCTCCAGAAGAAGTAAAATGCTCCTGAGCTTTTGAGTAGATTTTTGTCTTAACCTATATTTCCACTTTTGCATAATGTTTTAGTTCTTACAATAAATTTGGATTCTACAATACCAATTAAAATATATTCAGTTAAAACTCCATGATTTAATTCCATACCAAAAGCATTAAGTGAGGAACTACTCTATGTGTACTTAAAAAAGCAGGCTTCATATTTTAGGGGGCCCTTGGCGCAGACAACAATGCCCTAATTCATGAATACCACTAAGAAATCATTTATAAATACAACATATGGTACAGACATTTATAGCGCTAATTCATGATGTCGCTAACACCTCAAAACCCAGTGATTTCGCTAAATTTTGAATACACTATTTTATGGACACATACAGTATATTTTGTGGCGGAAGGTTTTTTTTAGAAGAAAATGATCATTTCTTTCTCTTTCAAAGTATTTAAAGTATGCTAAGTTTGGATTCCTATTTTTCCATGCAGCCTACACACAGAGTTATTCTGAGCCATGAATTGTTTTATGCTGGTCCTAAATTATATATCAAATAAAATATCATGAATTCTATCATTATATTTGATAAGTATAGCAAATATATTGTGAAAATCCAGAAAAAATAGCCGTAATTTAAATTAAGCTTAAAATTAGCACTATTTTGGTAATATCTAAAAATTAACATCATAGACCCCCACTTTTAATTTTCTTTTCTGAATATATAAAATACTTTTAACCATTCTTCTTAAATTCAGTAAAATGTCATTACTTTCAAGATATTTTATTGCTTGATAAATTTTTTAATGCCAGAAAAATATTTTCTGAGTGCAAAAAGGTCAAATAATTGAACTTGCGAAGTAATTTGAAAATTTTTTGTTGTCACAAATTTTAATACACCTATATATTCAAGGTGAAATAAGACTGTGTTTGTTCCCATAATTTATTTGAAAAAAATATTGGCGGAAAAACTTTAAAAATTGATTTATGTGTAAGACGTATTTACAGTGCAAAAAAGTCAAACTAAATGCTCAATAGTGCCAAGAGAAGCACATTAACCCCTATTTTTTGTTTTGATTTTTAATTAAGCTAGGTGTGTAGATTCTAAAAATATACTTGATAAAAGATTCTCATTACTTTTGAATTTAAAAGTTCAAAATTATGCTTTGTAAAGTAGAAATCTGGTGTCTGATTATAATCGATAACATTGAAACACTAGAAGCTGATTCCAAACATTGATCGAAAATGAAAATAAACCAATGCAAGGAAACTCACAACATCTGTGTGATAAATGTATACAGACAGGGAAACTCACTACATGTGGGTAAATAATGCACTCTGGCAAGGAAACTCACTACATGTGTGTTAATAATGTACTCTGGCATGGAAACTCACTACATGTGTGTAAATAATGTACTCTGGCAAGGAAACTAACTACATGTGTGCAAATAATGTACTCTGGCAAGGAAACTCACTACATGTGTATGATAATTTTAAACAGACAAGGAAACTCACTACGTGTGTGTAAATAATATACTCTGGCAAGGAAACTCACTACATGAGTGTAAATAATTTACCCTGGCAAGGAAACTCACTACATGTGTGCAAATAATGTACTTTGGCAAGGAAACTCACTACATCTGTGTAAATAATGTACTCTGGCAAGGAAACTCACTACATGTGTGTGATAATTTTAAACAGACAAGGAAACTCACTACATCTGTGTAAATAATATACTCTGGCAAGGAAACTCACTACATATGTGGAAATAATGTACTCTGGCAAGGAAACTCACTACATGTGTGTGTAAACTATATACTCTGGGAAGGAAAATCACTACATGTGCAATTATTGTCCTCTGACACGGAAATTCACTACATCTGCGTGATAAATTTTAAAGTTAAAGATAGAAACTCAAAACGTCGACACAAATACTGAGGTATGTGACTAATGCAGAGATCATTAGATACTGTACGTAGCATGAAAAAAATTGCTGGCTTCACATCAATGTTGCTATGGAATGAAGGAAAAAAATATACTACATGTTTTGTCTTTGATGAAAAAAGAAAAAAAAATAAAAAAGATAGAAATAATGTTATATTGTAATATATTTCAATACAAAATTTAATATTGCAATGTATCCAAGGTATTGTAATAGGATTTTTAATTTGCAATACCTAGCACTTAACTATGAACACAATGAGTGATTTGGCAATCTTAAAACAAACTACATTTCCTTTGCAGTAAATTCATCATCAACTTGTTCCTACTATGGATAAATTATATATGGCTCAACTAGTATTATAAACAATGAACGTATATCCCTGAATAGAAAATAGCAAAATTTATATTTTTTTCCCTAAAAATGTATGTCTGTAACATGAATATATTTCATTCAGAATGAAAGTAATAATAAAGAAATAATCCTTGAAATATTATGTTTTTTATGTTATGTCAAAAATCTTGACGCGAGCCCATTGCAGAGGTCTGAGAGAGGAACGAACGACTACTCTGCATAGGAGATTGGTAAACAGCACCCCCCCCCCCCAAACAAACAAACAAACAAAACAAAAAACACGATATAATATCTAATCATAATATTTAACCTCCTGGGGTAGTGAACTCTATAAAACATGTTTAGTAGACTTATCTATAATGCATATCATAGAAGAAATATGGAATCAAAATAATCATCCCAAATTAAACATACATGTATTAACCATTAGAGAGAATCTAGGTATGTCACTCCAGTTTGTTTACTTTGTACCCCATTGGTTTTTCTGAGCTGAAATCATGTTTTTATTTCAAAATGAAATGCCATTTCACATTCTTTTGACATATAATTCAGTCTGTCTTTAATTTGATGAAGCTTTTAAATTGGATTTGCATCTCATAAGAATCCTACAATTTATTCTCAAATACAAATCAATCAGTGTTTTGG